CCCATTTTTTGTTAGATTAAGAATCTTTAAATTGGGGTTTAAAATTATTATATTATTAATATTAACTATTTTTACTACACAATAAGTTGTCATTATTAATGAAAAATTATTAAAAATTTATGATAATAATTCAATTTTTGTGGGCCTTTACACTTGGGGGCCCCAGGCCTTAAGTTATTTCACTTTTTATCTGTTTAAAAAATCGAAATATGGAAGATTATTTCACTTTTCTTTTTTGTTTGTGTGTGTGTTTTCTGTAATAGGCTATATGATTGTTGAATCCAGCTTTAGATCGTCTAATCTTGAAGAGACGTGACGAAAATCGTCGTTTTTTAGAAAAACGGCAAGGAGTAGCGGAAAGTCGTCTGATTTATACAAAGAGACTGGTGAATTAGAAATCGGTAAATCTGTTAGATTATGCATGTAACCCGATAGAAGAGTGAATTCATTCAGCCTCGAATGTTTTAGCAGCAATGATATTCATGCCGATACCATTACTCAGATTTCCAGTACCTAATAAATGAATTTATCTATTTATAAGTAAAAATTGAAAGTGTTTGTAGAAGTAATTTTTTAAAATATCCTTTTTTGTGATAAAGTTTTAATACTTATTATTATAATCTAGACATGTTAATCCTTAAATATACTTGTATATTGGGCCACAAGTATATATTATATATACTTGTGGCCCAAAACTCCTTGACTTCTTCCAATGCGGCCCAGAGAAACAAAAAGGTTGGACACCCCTGCTCTAAAGTATTAAAAGTGAAATATTACAATTATATATAGCAGTAAAGAAATAATTGACAGACGTAAAATGCGCTAAAAAGTGAACAAATTTGAATTTATTTTCGGGTGAATCTAACTTTCACACATTTTAAAGAATTTAGATTATTAATAATGCCAAAATATAAATATTTTATAAATATATTCACAATTTCAATTTTATCCCCATTTAAAATCAAGTAAAAATGTAGTTTAAAGAATGATCACCTATAAGTATCTCCCATTCCACCCATTGGTTGACCAATGGAGGGATACATGGAGTTTGCAAATGTTCCATTCAGTGGTAAACGACCCGCTGATGGTGTAACCACAGCTGCTTGCTCCGCGGCTCTTCTTTGATTCCTTAACTTCTCCTCTCTTCTCCATTTTGCTCGGCGATTCGAAAACCATACCTAAGATTTTAAATATCTTACATTAAAATATAAAGCATAATATTAATTTTAATTCTCAGAAACTATACATTTCGGCTTTATAAAGAATTTAAATAAATAAATCACCTGTATCCGTGCTTCAGGCAAAGCGATCTTCTCTGCCAATCTCTCTCTCGCAAAAACATCGGGGTAGTGTGTCCTTTCGAATTCTATCATAAAATAAAAATAAAAAAAGGTCGTAACAGGCAGAATTATCTTTTAAAAATGAATTAGTCTGCATATTTTTAACGAGGCCAATCAAAAACATAATTGGATAACTCGTAAACAACTGAATTTAATCCTCTTGTAATATAAAAGACCCCGAAGAGATTCTTATAAACATTTTTAATTGATCGTTCTCGTTTCTTTAGAAAAATGATTAAAGTAGAAATTCTTTCTGTTAATTAACAGAAGCGGCAAAACCTGAGTAAATTGGGGAAAAAATAAATAATAATAAATAAATAATATATCATTAAACCCATTGCTATTTTTCCAATGAATGAGTTGAAGAGATATAATTAAGCATGTTATAAGAAAAATTTTCCATGTTGTTTGTTCCACAATGAGCCATATTTATTGCTGGTTTATTTAATTCAAAAATCCCCCTTTTAAAATTTTTTTATAAGAATTTTCTTGCGTATTAATTAAATAAACTGTCTCCCTTACAAATTTTATTAAAGTACTAAAAAAAAACAATAAAAATTTAGATTTATTTTTCAATAACTCTTTAGGGATATTACCCTGATTAACAGAGATAAACCCTTACGAATAAGGGTTATATCCCTGTTAACCAAGGTATTATCCTTAAAGGAATTATTGAAATTGTTAATAACAAATAAACCGAGATTGTTAAAGTAGCCTAAAATTATTTATTTGCTGTTAACAATTTCAATAAATCCCCTTTAGGGATATTACTCTCGTTAACAGGATAAAACCCTAACAAAATAAGAGTTTTATCCCCGTTAAAATCAAAACTAAAAAACAAAAATGATAAATAATTTTAGGCTACTTTAACAATCTCAATTTATTTCCATAAATATTGACAGTTCGAGTATAATTTTTTTTAATGTAAAAAGTATTTTCAGCAAATCATAAATCAATTTTACTTTTTTTCCTTCTTCTTCTAGAGACATAACGTTGCGTTTTTTACTCACTTAAACGGAAGAAAATCGATTGCAAAGTGGGAATTAATCATAGCGATGCAAGATAATGGAAATTATGGAAGGTTATTAAGAAGTCGAAACAGATGCAGGTTTTCTTAAGAAGCTTTTCTTTTTGCTTTTTACTCGTTGGCATGTCAGTTTAAAAAATCTTCTCCTGCTCTTCTTAATTCAATTTGCAGAACTTCTATTATTTTTGTAGACACTTCTTTAGTTTTGATCGATTCTACCCGATAATTACAGACTGTGAAATACACACGCTAACTCTACTAATGCCAGGTGATTACTAAACAAAAGCTCTCCGGGATTTCTGCAACTAAACTCTTCTCAATTTTTTTTAAAATAGTTTTTAGAAACCCGAATAAATTGTACTTTAAAACAATTTTAAAATTTTATTCAGAAAATTAAATTCAGTTGGATGTCGAGTCTAATTTGATTTTACAATAATTTATGCGGAGTTAAATTATAATTTTTTTTTACTAATTTATTAAAATTTTTATTTAAATTAAAGGGTTAACAGCCGAATAATAATCTTTTTAAATGGCGACATCAAACGAAACTGGTTTAACATGGCGCCATCTGTTGTCGTAAAATTTAAGTAATTTTAAAAGTTCGACTTTATCTTTTTTTTTTTCTATTTTTCTGTTTTGATTTTAAATGTTTCTCGAATTATTTAAGCATTCATACATATAAATATATAGATAAATTATTTTTAAAATGGGTAGAAAGCATTCATGCAACTACGGGATCAAGGGAACACCCTCAGCCGTTTTCTTGAACTTTCCCCTTGGTTGCCTTTAAATTCAGGAGCCAACAAGGGTTGCCTACTAGATTTAAAAGCAACCAGGAGGGAAAGTTAAGAAAGTAAATTTTCATTTAAAAAGGATAGCGACAATATTAAGGAGAGTCGGAGTAGGACTGAGGGAGTACCTTTCTCCAGCGCTTCAACTTGCTCATTGGTGAAGGAGGTGCGATTGCGTTGAAGCTTACGTTTCAAACGCATCCTCATTTGGGAATCTTCGTCTGCTGAAGAATTGTTCTCCGAATTGCCATCTGAATGAGCTTCATTGGTACCTGAAAAAAACCAATTTTTAAAAAAGTTCCTTTCATCCTTCGCCATTCTTAATTATAAATTTAATTTTTATTTCCACCAAAATTAAATTCCCATACACGAAAATATGAGTAAATACTCATAGAATTAAGAAATTATCGCGGTATTTTTTTTCTATCTGTCACGCTGCATCTCCTCTAATTAATCTTAATGGATAATGTGCCAAAGAGTATGGAGGAGGCACTCTTAATGTATGGGGAAGATTGAATTTCGCTCGGATCGAATTTATGGAAAATAAGAGAATTTATCTTCTGAATGATCTTTAAATGAAACCATAGTTTCCCATGGGCAACATGTCCCTGTGTAACAACAGATGGTTTCATTCTTATCTAGGGATCTGTTGCGGTGAGTAACCCAGGTGGTTACTGCTTTTATTTTCCATAGAGAAATAAAGAAAACATTGCATTTGTCATATATTTCCCCATTAGAAAAATGTTGAGTAACCCATTAAAAGATAATTTAAAAAGATAATTTTTTTGTTCATTTATTAATACAGAAGATTAACTCGAACCCACCTCTTACGAAATGAATTTGAACATCCAAACATCGTTCAAACTCCATACAAATTTAAATAATTTTCAATAAATTACGAAAGAAAATTGAATTTTTAGCATTAATACAGTCGAACCACTAAACAAACAACGACCACTCGCGTTTCCACCAGTGTCGGCTGTTCAGAGGTTTATACGGAAATGGTATAAAGCAACGAGATATTTTCGATTTTATCGTATAAAATGCGATTTTATTTACAACTTTTAACATTTGATATATAAAAATTTATTATTTTAAAGGGGGTTTAGTAATGATTACATAAAGATAAATAAAACTGCTTAAGAGTGTCATGAAAGAAGTCAGGAGATGATTTTCCAGAAAATCTAAAACATTTTCAGGAACATTTAGCTTAAAAACATTCCTAAATCCCGCAGAGAAGTCAGCTAAGAAGAACTAATTAGATTGGAATTATAATCCTGTAAAGAGGGAGGTTACAAATGTAAATGCACGTGCTCTTAATCTGCCTGAAAGTGGATTGTAACCCATACTGGGAGGTAAAAACTTAATTCCGAATTCGTCGAAATTTTTAATAGAATGGGGTGTGTAATTGTCTAAACACTGCGGGGGGCGCTAAGGAGTTGAAACCTACTGATCAGAAAGCAGGTAGATGTTCCCTTCAGCTATTTAAAACTTTTAAGCGCTTCAAATCAAACAATAGATGGAATTTCCCTGGATAATACTGTAAATTTACAAATCATTAATTAGAAACAATACATACTTCCGCTGTAACCCCTTTAGTCAATTGATTGACAGCTGGTCAAGAATGGATCCGTGTAAACTAATAATTTGGATTTTACACCCTTATTTTGTTGGTAAAAATCGATTAATATATATTATTTAACACCTGATTTATATATTATATATAAATTTAACAGTTTAAATAAATGAATAAACCGTTTATTTGCTTTATAATTTGCTTCGAATTAGCAAGGAAAGGTCGGTATATTTTTCCCCCTCCCCATTTCAATGCAAGTCAATCTTTCAGAAAGGAAATGCTTGACAGCGAAAAGAATGAAACAACTATAAATGTTTGAAACAAGATCATAGACTTGTAAAGGGGAATTCTTGTCACTCAGACGAGTGTCATTCATGCAACTGTCGAGAACCGAACGATGGTTCAAAACTGACACGCACACAGCATGATTTCAATGTTGAAACCTATTGTTCAAAGTGACGGGTATTTTGGAACATTTCTCTGTTAAACTTGCCTTCCGTTATTGAATAAAGAAAAAAATGAAAAACCGATTGTTGGATTGACTATAGAAGAGGGCAGATTTAAATTCAAGTTGGCATTAACTGAATTTTACGCGCTCATAAACACGGATAAAATCATTTATAACACGCTATTTAAGGCTAACTTCGTACTTTAAACTGTATTAAAAATTAATTTATAGATTATGTAAAGAGTTTTAACCAATAATTAAACTTAGTGTTTTAAATTTTAATATAATTATTGCAGAATTTTAGTAAAATAGTAAGTTAATTAACACGGCAGGGAGGAATTTATAATAAGAGAAACTATAAAAATTAATGGAAAAAATGGAAAAAAAGAGTAGAAAATATTCACGAAAGTTTAAATTTAATTATTTTATCAATAAAACTAAAAATAATTAACATTAACACCGTATAATTTACACGAAGAGGGAGAAATTTATTTTATTTTCAAGCCGATTATAACTTAATTTGGCCACGTTTTATATATTCTGTGATCGTCGGAACGATCTAACGACCACAGAATTATAAAATGTGATCGTTTAACACTCACTTAAACTAAAATAATTCAATTGGTTTAATTATCAACAGAATTTTCGTTTGTGACGTGGTTTAAAAAAAGTGCTGCAAGGATTAATGGCAACGTCCATTTACGAGTAACGAAAAAACAGGAATCTCTTAATTCTCTATCGATTTATGATAAGAATTAGTTTAGTAGGGCATTGAAGATCGTCTCGGATTCAAAATAAAGTTCTTCAAAGTAAGAATTATTTGATGAGACATCATTATTGATGTGAATAATGTAGATGCCGTTTGGATTGGGAGATACGCAATGAATTGCTTGTAAGATCTCTCGAGAATCGTTTCGTTTGCTCGTTCAACGGATTTCATTTCATTTCGACGTTTCTTTTGTGAAATATTCGGATATCGAAGAACAAACTTGACTTATTTAAATATAATTCAGTAATTTGCCTGAGGCGATCTTAAACGTTGACTTCCTTTCATTAAACCCATTGCTCTTCGTTCAGTTCAACTTATGTTTATCTTTTTATGAAAGTCTTCCTTAAATTTTTTTTCATTTAATTTACTTTTACTTCGAATTTAAAAAGCTAATATAGTAGTATTTTCGTGTATAATCATTAACAATTTCGTCTACATCCTCCTCTTTATACTAGAATTATTTAATAAATTTTCTTGAGAAATTGTGTAGAGTTTTATGTAGAAATTAAGTTATTGTTTCGTTTTTTAACCGTTTAGAAATGTTTATAAGTTCATTTGAATTACTTTCCAGAAAGATTAAATGCAGTTTTTATTTTTAAAATATAATAATAATTTCAATAATTTTANTTTTAAAAATTACTTCTAATAATAAATCAGAAATTTTTTACTAAATTATTTTTACATTATTTTACCACTAAATCAGGGTAAATCATTAAATCATTCAGTCATACGCACGCTGCGATTCCCAGCTTCATTTGCATATTACATAATTTATTTAATAAATTAAAAATTCTCTTATTTACTATTTATTTATTATTATTATTTCTTTTTAAATTTTATAGAATTATTTAATTAGAATTAAACGAAATTGTTCGAATCAACTGAAATATGAGAGCAAACGAAAATTCTATTCATTCATAAATACTTTCTCTTATTAAAAATTAGGCTTTGAATACAAAACAGGATATATTATTTAATTTAATAAAAGGGAAAAAATTGTATAATTAAGAAACTTTGCGAAAAAATTAATGGAAAATTTATTTATTAAAAGAAAATTTATGAAGTCTCTAACCTCCCAACCGCATACGAGACAGGCTTTCATTTACGAAATCACACTGAAAGGGTGGTCCAAAAGTCAATTAACCACATTCTGTTACGTAGTATACACATTCGTAAACTAAATTAGCGTGTTGAATTGGTTTTTAAGTACCTTTTCTGCGAGTAGTAATTTAAATAAGGCAGCAAGTTAAATTTCACATCGGTTAACTAACTTTGGAGCCAGGATTTTTATATAAAAATTTAATTATTATTCTCTAAAACGTATATTTGATTACTTTGCTTTAAATATTAATGAAATATTTCTCAAAAAATACATTAAATCTTCACTTATCACTTAATTCGTTACCTGTAAAATCTTTAAGAGTTGCTCGAATTGAATTAAAAATCACTTTAAACAGATTTAAAATACGAATTAGAATGTGTGCAATCTTTTCTAATTTAAAGTACTGTACATTTATTTACTTACTCAACTAATTCGAGAATTTATTTCTATCGTCATTAACGAATATACTTCCTAACGGTTCAGTTGAAAATGTTCACTTAACCAAGAAGACACTATTAATCAATCTTACCAAAGGGGGGAAGGAAGGAAGAGGAAAAAAACAGGATTATTATTGGATGGAGCCATCTTCTGTCGCAGATGTGCCAGGTTAAAGTAAGCCCAAGAAGCCGAAAAATTCGAGAATTTCTGCGAAATTTGAGTACGTTCGTTTGTCTATCCAATATCACTGAATTGATCGAAAAAATACGTCACTAAAACTGGGAAATTTACTGTTTATGGGTGCACTTCTCTGCACCCATAAACTATAGGCTTTTTAGCCTATAGTTTCTGGAAATTCTCTTAATTCCAGTTAAGCTGGCGTTTTTTAAAGGGTAAAATAAGCAAGACGTTTAATAAATTATAGAGAAATTTAATGCTAGATTTTTTTTAAATGTTTAATCGAGTTAGAGATGCTTAACGGATCGCATCAGTAAAGGATTTTAAGAAACGGTTTGCGCCTGAGATTAAGATTTTTTTTCGAGTGAGAAGCACGAGATTTTATAAAATGTGCAATTAAAAATACATATTTTATAAATTATAGAAAAATCTACTTTCTTTTCGTGTAAAGTGAGCGTTTAAGAAGTCGGATGACAAAAATCATCAGAGAAGAAACAAGTACGAAGAAGGTAAGACTATGTAAGAGAATGAAAATCTAATTAAAAAACACAAGTATAACGTTTTTTTTTTAAAAACAGGGAATCAAAATTTAGCTCAATTTTCCCTAAACAAAAGGTTTAAACATAATTTAAGGCCCTACGGAAACTTATTTAAATGGAAACTTATTCTACATTAAAAAAAGCAATTTTACTAATTTAATTCACATTTTCGTTTAATTTATTTAATCGATTAGCTTAACAAAATGAGTAAACTAAGTACAAACAAGGCTAAAATTGGACGACACTAAGCGAAAAAAATCTAATTAAAAAAAAATAAATAAAATACCTCGTAATAATAATTTTCACTGCTTTCCAGTAAACCCTAGAAGCATTTACTTCTAGATAATATAATAAATTTAATGATTTCTTAAAATTTGATAGGCTAAATTTATCCCCAAACCTCCATTCATTCATCTCTTGTCATTCTCAACAAAACAATTCCTCTACGACTTTTGAATTATGAACAATTGAGTTCAGAAAACGCAAAGATCTCATTAAAACAGCGAACTTGACTCGCTTTATTCATAAAATAAATGAACTGAAAGGCATTTAAACTGAAATCTCATATTATTTTTCGAGTGGAATATAATATAATTTAACCGTATGTGATCTATAGTAATATAAATCAAAGGTTTATCCAGTTTTTTCCCCCAAGGAATTTGCATAATTCCCCCGCTTGTAAAAAGGTATATTTTTGATTGTTTTATTATAATATTTTAAGTCTATCTCTAACGTTGGTCCTTTATCTCTTCTCATTATAATCCCAAAGCTTATCGATCATCGCATTCCACAAAATTCAATTTTGTTGTTCTTGATAGAATTGTAAGAACCATTCTTGCAATTGATCTCTACGTTTTATTGTATTTTCCAGCTTATTTATATGTAAACTTACAATTTATATTCATGTAAAGGCTAATTCATCATTTTGTTAAGAGAATTTCGTATGACCTAACCAGATATCGAGCCGATCGTTGGTAAGCCAATTAGTGTTTTTTGGGGGGAGTAGCAAAAAATAATCTTAAAATTTTAATTTTAATTAAAATTTTTGCTCGCTTACAGTCTTTTCCTTAATTTAGATTAAGTTGTAAACGCTAAATATAATTAATTCTCTCTTTTTTTAATGCGAAATTTGTTGAAGACACGCAATCTGCATTGAAAATGACGCTATTGTACACGTAAATAATAAAATTTAACGAATTAAAGCTAAACTGAAAATGGTAAAAATTATGGCTCTGTGGGTGGCGCTTATTGATTATGATGCATAAATTGCATATAATGCGGTGCGAAGCGAGCGCAGTCTGCTAAAGAACGTTTCAGAAATTGCTTGTGGAGCTAAATTCTCGGCTTATCTTTCATCTCAGACGGCGCCTAGAAATCTTTTTCCTTTAAAAGAATCCATTGTTTAATCTCTTGTGTCGATTCCGACACAGGAAAAGGACACAGCGGTCGCCTCTAAGTCCGAGCGTTTAAAGTTTAGCGCGCCTTTTGCTTCGCAGCAGAAGAAAGAAGGCAAAAACCTAATCTCTTAGTTGCCACAAGATTCCGAACTCGGACCGCCAAAAAGGAGAAAACTTTAGGGGTTTGCTGAATACAAAATGGAACAATGGGCAAAACAATCGAAGACATTGGGTAGACCCTTTGCAAACTACCCATTTATTCAGCGCGTGAACGATGCTAAGCCGTAAAAAACAACTCTCTTTTAAGTACAATAAAACTTAAAACCTGCAATGTGCAGGATGCCGTGAATACGTCAGGATTGGTGTAAGTCTTTTCTGGGTTTCCATTACCGAAGTGTAGTGATGTGAAAAGTCCATCTGTCCCTCTCTCACCTGCATTTGTACGTGGGCCTGTGCACACTTAGTGCCCCTAATTGCAACAAGCCTCTTATCCTCTCTGCTATCTTCCTATACATTGAGGCACTTCCTATAATATAGGGCGCACGTTATTATTCTGGTCAGAAAACCAGGCAAACAATTCTATTGATCTGAAAGTAAGAATCGGAAAGGATTAAGCTCTATTCTCCCACGGTCCTCACCCTCCATGTTCTATGTTTATATATGACTTTTAAGTTGTTTGCGTCATTTTTTTCGTCTAACTACAATAAAGCATAACCGCATAAATAGGGGATTACAGTGTTGTCGGGTGTAAACACCATGTTCTACAATAGGCAGGAAGAGGTCGACCGATAATTATTATTGTTGTATATCTATGTCAGTGATACCGAGCCAAATTTGTGTCCTACTTTAACAGGTTTGACTTGTTAAATGCGGCTTCCTTTAGAGGGTTGCTAGGAATTAAGACAATCGATTAGTGGCTTTGTAATTTCGTATTCGTGTCTTAAACTTATGTCAGCCGAGAACCATTAGAAACAAAAATGGTTCTTTTTCTATTTCCTTCGTGTTCGATTAGAAAAAAAAACAGGGGAAAAAGATGCGGAAAATGAAATAATGCGAACTTTTACTAAGCCCCTTTTGTTGCAGAATTTTTATAATGACAACGATTTTCTGTTTTCTTGGATGTGGTTGTTAAACGGGTTGATGTTCAACCAAGCATACATAAACTTGACTGAGTCGCGATATTAGTGGCTTGGCTTCGTTTGATTCTTCTATTACAAATAACCAATTTATTCTTTCCAATCGATCCGTCTTCGAGAATTTCGCCGTTAAACAACAAAAACTTGTGGAATATTTTAAAAAATGCGAGCACCTACACGCGCAGAAATTACAAATCGGTGTCTTTGACCTCTAACTTGGCTAATTTTTGAGTACTATACTCAGCTAAACCATTTTCTCCCTTCATAAATGGCGAATTAATTAATGTAAGGATCGATCATTTGATTGATCCATTTAAGCGAGATCGATTTATTCCAGCCGCAAACACGCGGAAAAGAAAGAAAGGAAAAAACCAGCTAAACTCTCGAATCGAATTGTCTTAAACTATCGTCGACTTATCGATTTATTATAAAACAAAGTATTTCTGCTAGGTTACCGCGATTCATTTTGGTCAATGTGTGAACGACACCATCGCAGGAAAGTGCCGCATCAGCCATAAACCGCCCACCGCTCCCTCCCCCTCTTGCATCCCCATGGGTGGGAGAATCGCACGTGATTGTATTACATCCGGCCCCCCATACTTGGTCAGCGTTGATATAATTTGGCAAATTGAATACTTGGTCCCGTATCCCGTAAGACACTCATTAGCACTTTGTTACAGGAGCGAGATGTAGAAAGAGAATGCTCGATTCCGATCGATACTTTAGCCGTCGGCAATGCTGATGGCATGCGAATAGAAATACCTACAGACAGCAACAGAGATGGCCTTTACGACAAAACACGCGAAAATCGAGTAGGCAATGTCTCTTCCAGCAAGGAAATCGAAGCCGGGGCTATATTTAGTGTGACCAGAATATTGATGCATTCAAGGATACGCTTGCCATTTCTTGCAGACTGCCATTCAGTCTACGACCCGCAATAACTAAAATCAAACTAAGTTTAAATTCTCCCTTCTTTAGCTCCACAATACCATAAAAATTCACTGTATAAACCATCATTTCCCATTCATACCACTGGGTTTATTTCACAATACCCATTTTTCAAATAATCTTGATTTTATAAATCTTATTAAATCCTCCCACTGTTTAATATTAATTAAATCAAAGAATTCTCTTATTTAATGTTGATTAAATCAAAAAATGCTCCCTTCCATCTAAAAAATCCACTATATAAACAATTTCTCATTCATATCATGACAATACCCAAATAATCTCGATTTTATAATATATAGAATCTTATTAAAATCCCTATTTAATGATAATTAATCAAAGAATGCTTCCCTTTATATAGTATATACTATAATGGTGCTGCAAATCAACGACTAGTATAGGTTACTACGTGAATGGAATGTAAATTTATATTAGTTCGGATCGGTTGATGGAAGTATGGTGGATATAATGATTTTATAATGTGTTTCGATTAAAATTGGAGATTAGATTCCATAAAAGCTTATCAATATTTTGACATGAAACAGTAAAATCGACCAGTGGAAATTATAGTACACCAATTTATAATAATGTAAATGGGTAAGGTAAAAACACGAATATAATTCCAACCTAATGAAGTGAAATTTATGTTATTTGCTTAAATTTTTAGCATGAAGAACAATTAAATTATCTTTTTAAATGATAATTGATGATTTAATAGTTAAATTTATAGTTTTTCTCATATAAAAATGACTATCTTGATCCATACGAATACCCAATTCCTACGAGAACGCTACATACGAAATTCTGAATTAAGATTTTTTTACAACGAATTAATTTTATGCACCGAAGGTTCCTAAATTTATATCTTTTGCAGAAAGTTTACGTAACGTAAGATCACGTGGAAGACTTTCCTCTACGGAGAAGCATCCCTTGCGCATTTAATTTGCCGAGTATTTTTCTCATTGTATAAATGGTAGAAATGAATAATTAGTTGAATTCGAGCGATAAATTTAATCACCTTTTCTACTCGACGAATCTTCGCCGTGTTGTCCATTGCATGCTGTCAAATTAGGGGTACCCGTTACAGCATTGCCAACAATTCCCGCTCCCGCAGCACTTCCCAGACCCGCTGGTGATGGTGCGTGTGGTACCCCTGGTGTGAGATGAGTTGCACCAGCTGGATACCAGGGCCAAGGTTGTCCGTTGAGCATGCGTATTTTTTCGTAAACAGATTCCGGTCCAGCAACTGTTAATTGTTGCTGATGTTGTTGCTCCTTCTGAGCGGCAAGATTACGCAGAACTCTGTTGATGGATGATACCTGAAGAAATATATAAACTCATTTAAATAAACATTTCTTTTGTATTCTTACCACTTATTTGATTTATTAATTATATTTATTGAAATATAAACATTAAAATCGTCGTGACGAAACAATTCGTTAAAGTTTCTAAACTTCTACTTTTAATTGCTAATTTTAAAAAGTTTGGTACAATTTATGTATATAAAATAATCACAAATTTTAAGGTTTTTAATTATATTTTAAGGTAAGGTTCCTTACGCTAACTAATTACTAGTTTAAGTTTACCCTTCGCAAATTCTATAGTAAACAGTCGATTTTCTGGTTGAATTTGTCAAGTATTTTACTTTTCTTCTCTGATTTACCAGAAAATCTGGTTTAGAAGGGATAATAATTTTAGTTTTAAAAAACATTTTCAAACACCAAAAAGGCATTTTCTCGTTTGTCTGTTCAGTAAAAAAAATGAATAAAATAATTTTTTTATCCAAAAATCTAAGGTTAATTAATTAAATATGCTAAATTTGATTGCGATTTATCTACAGACCAAAATAATTATTATTGTTCAATTATTTATGTAAATTTGTCAGGCTAGAGGTATTATAAGGCTTATATAAGCAGGTGACAATACATCGCAGTTTGTCCGGGATTTCTACTGTTTCTAACCCCCCCCCCAAAATAGAAAATTTTAAATGGAACCATTTTATAAGTCGATATATAAATAACTTTTTAAAATATAATAATAATTTCAATAATTTTAGACCCATTTTCCCACTCTGTCCAGGTTTAGGCAATGAAGAGTATGGTCACTAAATACAGGTCTACAGATAATTTTATCGAATTTATTTATTACAGAGCAAAACAATTAACACAGCAGTTTAAGCTATCAACAATAGAGCTTAACATAAATTAGAAGATATAATTAAGATTTAAGTTTATTTTAGAAACTTTAAAAATTAATTAATATAGATGAAAATATAGAATAATTCTCTTAATCAACCATAATCCCCATTTAACACTTAAAATATAGAAATTTTAACCGAACAGAAATTAATAGGGAAAGTTTAAAAATAAAAACATTAAATTTTGTATTTTAAACAGCGTTTTAATATAAATTATGTAAAATAACCCTAAATAAATTCTACTTTTATAATATTTCAGACTGATGTCGAACATAAAAGTCAAATAATGATAATTATTAGGTTCCAAAGAATGTGAGCCGACGAAAAAAAAATAGAAAAAATCTTTATATTACGTAGAAAGAAAAGCAAATTCGATTGCAGTTTTCTAAGCAAATAACGACTTTTCTTTTAAAGAACTGTAGCGTTTCTCTTTAGGTGTACGTTTCACACCAAACCATGTGTACACAAGTTCGTCTACCAATTCAAAGATCTCGAAAAAATTTAATTTATAGCCACATCCTCCATATATATGTATGTGTACAGTTCTTGCGTATGGTGCTTTGGACTAAGCCCAACAAAATATCCCGGTATTCATGTTGATCCTGGACCTCGCCTTAAATTACTTTGGTGTCCTTTGGGATTTGATTGGTGGCGAAAAAAAATTCTCAAAAGACTTATTCACTTCGAGAAATACCTTTTCCCACAAGATCAAACAGAACCTATGTATTGTGCAGATGTAGTGAGGATTGACAAAAACGTATGCGTATTTTACAGTAGTTTATTCTTTGATGCTGCTGCTGATACTGCTGCTAGTCTTGGACTAATGCAAACGAAGAGATTGTAAAAAAAATTATATAAATATATTCTACAGGATTTTACGTGAAGTGCCATCTTCTTTGTTTAAGAGCCGTGTCTGCAGAGTAATTTTTACACATCGCATCGATTTAATAAACTCGAAAACTAAATAAAAATACAACAAATTTTTAAAAATAAATGATTTTTTTTCTATCAAAAATGTTTTTTTTTTCTTTTTAAAAAATTGATGCTTGCTTTCAAAACTGTTTGTAAGCGGTATGAGGATGGGAAAATATGGGAGGAGAGAGATTCCTTGGAAGTTGATTATAAAATTTGAATGATGGCACAAGGGGTGTGACTATTTAGATAGGAAAGGAAAGAAAAACGAGGGCGATATAAAAAAAACCGGCGACATTATCACCAAGAAAAAAAGAAGGAAGAAGCAAATTGCTGAGGTACTACTGCAACCAGGCGAACAATGGAAACAATAGAGAAGCGGGTAATGAAGGTTGGTAGCGTGGATTACCTGGCTTGGTGACGATCCTTTGTAGTGCGTTCGCGCTCCCAAATTCCTAAACTCCCGATCTAAATTAGTAGGCAACATTGCGGGAAAATTACCGACTTCCCCCTCTTGTCCATCAGACCCCCCTCTAATGCTTCTGGGTAGTTTGATTCTGGAAGAATTGTCGTGGACCATCCATTACGCGACTACGAATACACATAGCATTATGGAAATTTTACTAATTTTTAAATTTTCAAATTATTTTTTTAAGATATAGGAAAAAAGAAAAAGAATTTTATTTTTCGGTTTTAAAAATGGGTATACTTTAAAACAAAATTTATCGCTGAAGAAAGTTTCATAATCAACAATATTTCGAGTCAACGGTGTTCTTTGTTAATTGTATTAAAATAATTTAACTAAATCGATAAGCTTATTAAATTTTATAATTAATTAATTCCTGTGTAATTAAATGATTATCTTAATCGAGTTTATTCGTTTTAACGTTAATTTTAATTGTATTTAAAATTATTTTTGCGGTTATATTTTATATCTAATTCGGAGAATTATTGATGCGTACAGCGATTTTTTTAAGTAAAATTATTATAAATTTTCGATAATAAAAAGTTTATTTAGATAGTAAAAATATAACAAATTCAAGGTTAATTTTAGTGAGAAATTTCGACGATAATTTCAATAAAAACCACAATTTTAAGTATAACTATGAACAGAGCAATCTTGAAGCCACTTTGCTGAAATATTTTGTAAATTTTAACTTATTTAATTAAATTATAACAGATTAATTTACGTTCTAATATTGTAAATTGTATAGAAGTAACGAAAATATAATTAAATATGGCAAAATCATAGGTTTATAATTTCACTATGTACAGTACAAACTAAGAACCTAGACTATAATTCTATGGAGTTTATGCTTCTATAGAATAATTTGATCTTTAATAATTTGCTTAGTTTTGTAATTAAGTTATATTAATAAATTATTAAGAAAAAATTCTGTTAAGTAAATACGATTATTTTTACATCTTCGAATTAAGATTAATAAACAGCCATTAAAATTGCTATATGCTTTCGTGTACAGTATTTCATCTATTTAAAGTTGAATTTCGTGTGTACATTTAATTATAATTTAATGTTTTATTGTATATTTTATGCTTTTATTTTGTTTGATAACTTAAACATTTACATAATTAACATCTGGTAGATTGTAACGATGATGATGGAAATTAATATTGCTTAATCCCATTTAAAAAAAGTTATAAAATTTCATTAAATTCATAATTTAATTATAAACTAATACTTATTATAAACATATATAAGGCCTCGTATATATTTAGAAAACTTTCAGAACATTTTGGATTATCGGAAAATGTTATCAATATTTAATTATTTTATAAATATATTATGAAAATTTGTGTTATTTTACTAACTTAAACAATTAAATTTTATATCATCTCATAATTACGCTTTAAAGTTTTTCCCCCATTTTTATGATGCTTAGCTTATGTAATATAATCTAAATTTAATTTAATGAGATATTCTATATGCAAAATTAAACTAATAATTTAAAAATCTAATAATAATTTTATAAGTGAGCTTTAAAGCTCAAAACAATAGGTCTAACGAGAAAATGAACAGCGAATTGAGCAAAGATAATTGAAATTATATTGAATTTATAAAGGTGATACGATGAAGACGAAAGGATTATAAAAGTTAGGGATTTAATTCACGTTTTCCATATTGTTTAGGAATCATCCGGAAAACTTTCCCAATTAACAATGCACAATAGAAATTAAATCAAGTGCATCGAAATAACACACATTTTAACGCTTGATAAGTCCTAGACATATTCATTTCAGTATGGTCCTTTCAAGTTATTTTTCGATTAATTTCCTGGAATCTTAAATTTCCTTAACGTTACTTTTAAATGTATTGTACACGATATTATTCAATTAAGTTAAAGACAATTAAATTTTCTCTTGATTACAATCGTTATAACCATATTATAAACTTACAAACTATTGTCTTACTTCTTGTTCAATTTAACCATTTATACTATGCTGGGCCTATTCCAGAATATTTAATCTGATTTAAAGGGGAGAAAAATGGAATATAAATCTATTAAATTATATTTATATAATATACATTTATATACAGCGCCTAGTAGACTTCTTTGAAAGAAATGTGAAATAATGCACTGTTCTTTTGAAATTACTAGCACACGCTTACAATATCGCTAGGTCAAAGCATAAAAAAGGAAATAACCATTGTAAACAATACACATTCGCTTCGTTGATTGGCGAGAAACGCCATAAGAGTAACGATAAAGCACTTAAGTGATGCAAATCTAGGAAATATAAATCGCGTTTTGATTGGTTGAATCCCTCTCAGGCCAGTAACAACGTAGTCTACAAATCAATGATCACACCTATAATTAGTTGTTTTCCATTTCCAATGAATCGAGGAAACGATACAACTGGATGAATTCACAATGGATCACAAGGAAACATGAAAACCATTGTGAATTTCTTTGTGATCCATTGTAAATTAAGAATGGTAGTCCTTCGTTAATTCACAAAGGAATTAACGAAAAACTGTTAAGAAACACTAGTACCACTATCACTTTTACCTATCTACCGACCTTTCAAAAAATAATAGAAGTTTGTTCTTGTTTTTTTTTCCCCATGTGAAATATGCAGAGGCGCTTATTTAGAAAGGAAACAGGATCTTTAAATACATTAATAATTCTTCACATTAAATACACCTAATTACTAAATCTAACTGTAAGTAAATTAGCGAGTGACAAAATTATTTAGCTTAATTGTAATAGGTGTACAGTACAGTTCATAATTCAGCTTATACTCAAATTATTTTTAAGAAATATAATTAGAAAAAATATATAAATTTGTTGAATTAAATTGCATCAACTTATCAAATTGTTAAAATGGCAAACACAGAAATTGTGTGTGTACTTTGCTTAATGTATAAAATAAGTTATTCCGCAATAATCCATAAAATATATAGAGCTTGATACGTATACAAGTCAAAATGATTGTTTTTATTGAAAAAAATTAAGTACTGTATATTAATGAATTATATTACACAAGTAAGTGTTAATTAGCTCAATATTCTAACTACATTTTGTATACTTATTTTTTTGTCTTATATAAATTCTTCTACAGGACTTACATATTAAATCTTAGAATAAATTTTAATCAGTTTATTAATATTACAAACGTTAATTTAATGAGTAAATTGTTCCGTTTTAATAATGATTCCAACTGTATTTGTTTTTAAAGTGTCTAAATGTGTTTATTATAAATTTAATTTTGCGGAAACTTTCGAAAAATTCAAGAAAATCAAATTTTTCTTCTTCATGCAATTACCGTAATACATAAGTCTTATAAGAAGATAAAATATAAAATTGTTTCACGACAATTGAAACAAAACGAAATTCATATTTTTCTTCTATATTCATTCAATTTCCAAAAGAAAAAAGAACTAAAAGGAAACAAAAATAATTTCATTTAGGAAAGAGAAATGAAAAACTTTCGCTTTTGAAAACAGTATTTATCCAGATCTTTAGCTTTCCTTCTTGCTCACGCCTCGTTAGATCAACAGGTCTTTGGTTGATGCTGACAGAACGATCTATTTCACGACCGGAAATTATTCATGTGGAGGACGTGTGTCCCTCTCAACCAGACCGGAAGAAGGTGTGCGCAGGGACTGAAAGACCAAGGGGGAGAGGAAAAAAAAAAAGTAAAAATAGGAGGGGACTTGGTCGAGTCCTCCCTCTCCGGGGCGAATCCGGAAATTAACATGTGAATGGTCGTCCCCCCCTTCGACAGAACATGGAACGACAGAAATGATCGTAGATGGAATAAGAACAACCAAGAATCCAATTACTGGCAGGGGAAACGAGGCGAGAAACAGAGCCGCCTTTTCAGACAAACCGATCAGAAAATTTATTCATGGAAATGTCGCCCGAAGGGAGAATGAAGAATGACAGGGATTGGATGCTGAAGATGCGACGTCATTGGTCTCACTAAGGAGTCCAACAAGATAGTAATAGTTATGAAAAGGAATAAAAAGTGAAAGCTGAAAAAAACCGGCTGTATTCGGTATAACCAATGCTCTGTTGGCTTCAATTTTATCATCCAATAAGTGATGACGGGGAGGAGCTCGTTTCAAATCGAAAGGCAAATCGTTTCGGATCTACATTTTATTCCTTGCAATTATTTAATTCAAAATATTAAACGAAAATTTAATAAAAATATTTTTTTAAAGCGTGGAAAATGTTATAATAATTAATATAATTTTTACATATAAAATATATTCTTAATATTGATAATACTGAGCGTATTTATTAACAAAAGGTATACTAATTGCAACAGGTTTTTCTAAAATGTACGGCTTAATTCTTTTTGCTTTTTAATTAAATTAATAATTAAGATTTAAATCATATTTATTTTCATGTTACCATTAAAAATCCGCTTACATTAAAGTATTTATTCATGAATTTGCGGCTCCAACTAAACATTACTGATTTAAGTTAACTAATATTAAATATTACCAATATTTATTCCTTAACAGTAAACATCCATTAGATTATAACTTGAAACAGTATCCTATACATGTATAATGATGAGATTCGCATCTAAGACGTGTTGGAAGAAAGTAGCATCGAACAAGATAAGAAATTTCCATCTGAATGCCTTTTAAATTTATTATTTAGATTATTTTGTAACTTATTCTAAACAATTAGGCACATAAATAGGAAAAGTAAATTGAAAATTAGATCATTTTTATCATGCATTCCTTTTTCCAACTAATTTATTTTTTAAATAAAAGGCTTATATTTGCTGATGACGGCGTACAAATCTGATTTAATCCTACCTATTATTCACATATTGTATTATCATCCCGAAAATATAAATAAGATCTATTAAGATAATACTGAATTACTATTACAGGCCTAAATGTTAGCAAAAACAGTTACTCTTCCACAAATAATAAACTACACTTAAATATAACTCACTCTAAACTAATCATAATATAATACTTACGCTAGGTATGTTATCGTTATTGCAGACACCTTCCGATAACAATCTATCTCTTATCTCCCAGGCAAATATAGAAGGGCACTCTCTTTTAAATTCTGCTATTTTTGTCACTACCGATGCGGTGGCAACACGTGGCTTACTTCCTCCAATGGCACGTGGTTTGATGGAACCCGTTTCGTAATACCTGCCAAGAATCTTTGATACGCAGCCGTTGGATACTTGAAGAATTCGAGAAATATCACAGGGTCTGGCACCGCTGTGGGCTAATTCGACTATCTTTTGGCGAGTTGAATCTGGCAATGGTCTGCCGTTGACATACACACCACCCAATTGATTGATTCCGCTGTGGCCTAATAAAATAAAAGCATCCTATTTAAATAACGTATACAGTAGTCTACTTGACAATATTATACTATAGTAGAGAAGAGTAATTAGAAAATAATGAAAAGTTAATAAGCGCTAATTAGAACTTGGCACTCATTAAATGCGCCTTAAATTACTGTTTAACTATAATTTACGCTACATTCGCGCGATATAAATTATAGTTAAACAGTCATTTAACAGAAAACTTATCGAATGAAATATAATTTACTAAATACAGTTGATGACACAGACACACAAACAGTTAATTTAGCAATTTCAATTTTGTTTTTTTTTTAATATTTAAAGCTTAATTCGATGCCAATTCTATTAAATTTGGCATTATTTTTGAGTGAAAAATTAACTGAAAATTTAAAAATTTTGATGATTTTAAGACGATCACAAAGGTTTATTCTTATTTCATCGATTTAGTAAGAAGTTAGGATAATATATATAATTTTATTTATGATATAATTATATGGCTAGAAGTTAAATAAACTATATTATATGAACTTATAAATATGAAGTGAGATAAGATCAATAATTAGATCGTCACCAAAATATTGATTATTTGTTAGCTTAGCTTATTAGCTTATTATAGCAAACATTAATTGACTGCATAACTAGAAAATCTAATGTGTATGTATGTATGTGTGTGTGTATAGATAGCATGAATAGTCTAACGTTTAGTCTGCCTGAAAATTAAACTAAATTGATGTGTGGATATATTTAAAAGCTTTTATCTAATATAATTTATATGTAATTGAATAGGTCAAAATTTAAAAGAATAGAACTTATTAAATGGTTTCTAGAATTAAAAATAAAATAATTTAATTAATATATATTATTTTTTAAATATTTAAAAACAAAATAAATTTCAGTCTGTAGAATTATATAAAATCGTCTTTTATGATAGACCTATATAATTTATTTTAATTTACACACGTTTTCTCTAAAATTTATAACAAAAGATAGACTATTTATATTTTTATTTTATCACAGATTTTCTTTAAGAGCCACTTCAATATTTCTATTTGATTAATTAATTTCACCATTGTATAATAATTTTTAATTCCAGATGCTTTGGAGCAATTTTTTTTTTTTAAATCTGATAGCTGTATTTGATATTAAAGGATAAGGCTACAATAATGGATGAACATGTTTAATGAATTGGAAAGATAAGATTGGTAGGACTATTTTTTTTTTTTTTTACTGTTAATAAATCGTCTCGATTTTTTTTTCTAGAATATATTTTCAATAAATGGTCTGTATTATCTTGTAAAAAATGTAATCTAGTTAAATAAAATTTGAAAATTTGTTGATAGTTTAGCATCAATAACAAGTGATTCTATCCATGGAATTTTTTTAAATTAAATAATTTGTATTGAATTATTTAATTATTTTTATATTAATAATTTTTTTTAAATGTAGTTTTTATTTGTTTTCAGTTTTTATAATTATATTTTATGTGATAATTTTTTTAAACCAACATCTGGAAGTTTAACGTTTTTATTGCAGATTTAAATAAAACTTAAGTTTTTAAAATTATATACATTATATAATTATAATAAATATTAATTTTGTTTCGGAGTAAAAAATAAATTTCCATAAATTTTCTTAAAAAAATAGCTCCATTCCAAGAGCAACATTCGCTCTTATAAATGCCATAAAGAAGTAACTCGATTGTTAAAAATTTCATAAATTTTATGAAGTTTTTTTCCATAATTTACGACTTCTTACACAGAAGTTATTCTTAGAATATTATTGAAAAGTCTGGGATAAAGTAATATATCTCATTTGAACTTGAATGGAAACAAGTAGGCTATCGCCTGTCAACGGATAAATTTAACTCTTGTCAGAACCTTACCTTTGTGTGGCATTGTTCCAATCCCCGATGCCAAACCCAATACAGCCCAGGCCTGGCCGTCACCGAGATGGCTGACCGCTGGCCTCTCCAGTTAGTCTGGCTGCTTGACCTTCGCCTTCAATACAATCAAGTTCCCCAAAGAGGGGTCAATACCTAAAAAAGAGTCATATCATGTACAACGAGACCAGATCATAATCAAATATAAGTACTTTCTGCTAATAAATAATTATAAATTTCGATTTTTCCTCGTTTATAGGGAATTTATAGCGTATTTTAGTTGTAGATGATACAAATGACATTTCTTCCGATTTAATTAACGTTAGAAATAATAGTGAAAGTTATATGTTGCCGAATTTAATGAAAAAAATGGGTGGCAAAGTGTAAAATGAATGAGTGGTGAAAGGCTGTAGGAGATGGTTGACTATGAACTCAGAATGAGGAACTTTCAGATCTTATTTCTTCAGCCGTCAATCCAAAGCGAAGCAGTTGGTGACGGCAAAGAATTTTTCTTTAAAAAAATCCCCCCACCATTCTGCCATTCTACAGACGATATTTCATTGTCTCACATACCACTCTACCCAGCACACAATCCATTGAAAATCCTCCCAGCAGAAAGCGGGGAGTTTTCTATTTTTTTATTTTGCCTTCGTATCGTCAGTCAATATCCTGGTAGGGGTGAAAAAAAAGCCATTAGAAAAGAATCTGGTATCGTTCAATGTCCCAAGAGAAAAAGAAAACATGGTAAAAGGTCTTACATCAAGGTGCACCCTTTTAAATGGAGGTGTGATTCTCTTGTACCCGATTTATTGCCTCAAGTATGTACCTTTGATGAAATGCCTGTTTCACATTTAATTATTTGCTCTAGTTCCAATGATTCCGTAAAGCCAAGATTCTATTCTTTCTGCTTGAGATAGGGTTAGGATTTTCAATGTATTAAATCCAAATAAACTATGTAAATATTTTCTACTATACAATTCTATCAAACGCAATTCAACCAATCTAATGATGTGAGATAATTTATAAAGTTTATTTTTCCTTAAATCGAAATTTTTGTCTGAAAAAAATGTTTAATAATTTTAAACTGCAACGTTGCAATTCCTTAAAATTTAAAAACAGTATCAAAGAAACAATTTAAGTTTTTATTAATATTAAATTAAAAGTGGAACTTAAGATTGTTGAAAAAAATTTGCCATTATTTGAGACTTAATTGCTATTAAATTTATTCTAATATTCAAAGTACTATACACGATGCTGCTGCTGCTGCTGCTGATGATGATGATGATGATTATAATCATGTAACGTGTATTGTACTATACTTTGAATATTAGAGACAAAGTATTGAACATGATGATCAATCTATTTTAAAGCAAAATGCGAAATACCGCCGATTATTCTGCTTATTTCCCCCCAAAAAATAAAATTAAATAAAAACAAGCAAGAATATTCAGAAATTAGACTATTTTTCTCAATTATATTTACTAAATATTCTCGAATATATAAAAATAAGAACTACATTAACATAATTCTAAATTTAAAAACTATTTTGTACTTAAAATATAATTTTAAAAATGATTCGAAAGTATCCATTATAATCATTTTTCCCTGTATTCAAATTAAGAGGTATTTGATTATATGTGACTATCAGAGACACGCCATTGGCTGAATTTATCAATTTCATTCACTTTTGTCCAATTATTATTAAAGAAAAAAAAAGCATTAACCATTGTATAAATTTTATGTTGAATCCTATTAAGACTATATATTTAAGTAAACAGTAGTCTACATTGTATATAATTGATGGAAATTAAAATTTAATGCGCTCTATAAGCGTTTATATAGGACCACGCGAAATAAAATTTAAAGTGACGATAAGCAAAAATACTCGAATTATTACTTTAAATTGTAAAATATATACTCGAGAATTGAAAGATTAATTTATATAAAAAATTTCGTTGTAAATTTAACAATAAAACCATTCGTAACTTTATCATGCGCCTCAATCTTTCATTCGCTAGACTTATTTTCTGATTCCTCCCCCATTGATTTACGTTTTAATTATTGATTTAGTTAAAGAACATCTTAATCTCGGATGTAGGTCAACTATCAGATGAATTTTTCATGCGACAGACTAAATTGAATTTAACGTTTTGAATGAATATTTCATCAATTTGATGCGACATCAAAGCGAATTAAACGCTTCCAGAATTTACAACGTCATTAATTTATTTTTACCCACACAAATAGGAAACTACGGCCTATGTTTAGAACACTAAAACACTCGCCATTTACCCTGCACCATTGCATAAATTCTTGTTTTCGGGAGTTAGAACCAGTTATAAGAGTAATGACAGGTGATCAAGACCTGTGGTTACTGTGAGAGGTATCCCCTCCAGTTTTGAGTATCAATAACTTATAGGAGAACACTTCACATTTTACTATCGGGGTGGGGGGGTTGGTTAGCCTACCATCCAGCTAAGTAAAAAGGGGAGTAGACGTTCCTTTTGAAGCATTTTCGAGCACCGGACATGATATATTATCCAGTAGTGAAGAGGAAAAGCGTATTCTTCGTCTGCTTCGTGGTCTTTTAAGACGCACCTTGTTACCTGTCACCGGGGTTAGTGTCGTGCTTTCGGCGCCCGGGTGAGCTAGAAGCCTGCTCTGTTGTCGCTACCAAAACCGATCTTACAAAAGAAGGCGCAGATAGCGGTAAATCGACAGCTCCGATTCACAAATCAATCACGTCTCGAGAAACACAGACACGACACTGCCCGATACAAACACGAGAAGGGACAATCTGACTAGTGACAATACTACCCTCGGGCACTTGATGTTTATCCATACAATTTCAGTTCTTCTTTTTCTTTTTTTTGAGGGGGATTATTTCCCTTCCTTTCGAATTAATTTGTATATCTTATTTAGAAATTTCTGTTCGCATTTAACGATTTATTGTCCGAACGTAATTTTTCATTTTTAAGTCGATTTTACAGCGTACACAGTGCTAATACAATAATAAAACAGTATTAATCTTAAGAAATATTGGGTTGCCCAAAAGTCAGTTAACCGTGTTGCGTGTTCCAGCTTCACACAAGAATGTGTGTGCGTTTTTCCCCTTTTAAAAAATTGATTAAAATATGATTAGGTGTTTGAGTAAGGCAGTAATTATCTTCGACGGTTAAACGACTTTTGGGTCATTCGTAAATATATTTTATATAGGCCTAATAATAATTTTAGAAAATATTAAATTTTAGAATTATTGTATATTAAATTATATCACGTCTAAAATATAATAAAATGATTTTAAAAATTCGATTTTTCTAGTTACATGTGTTTAGAGAACATCTGTTTATGTAACCTGAAACCAAATATTTCGAACATTTTTAATCAAGATAACCTCCAGAACACCTGCTCGATGCTCTCAGATATTTGATATAAAGTTAAATCACTAAATTTATTGAAAAATCTAGCTCTTAATTTCGGGAAAATTATGAAGAAAGGACCTTCTATAAAACAATTTTAACATTAAAAATACAGTGAAACCTGTGTAAACCGGACTGTTACGATACCGAATATTTCTTCCAGTGTAGCAAGTTTTTTTTAATACAGAAAATCACCGAGTTCCTACGAATTTTTCCCGTTTAGGCAGGTTTCCATTTTGGACAGGTTTTAAAATAATTCTTTATAATGTTCCTAGAGACATCCTAAAGATTTTTTATATAAAAAATACAAAAGAATTATTTAAAATAACTGTCGAAGAAACAAATTTTATTCATTGTAAAAATCGAAAATTATAGAAAGAAAAATGAGATTTCAAAACGTAATAAAAAATAAAATTTAATATACGAACTTTTTATCCTGAATTTATTTTATTTTATTCTTTATCCATGAACTGAATTTACGAAAAAAACTATTTAAATTCTTATTATTAACGTAGAGTGAATTTATTCATAAACACAATCGATCTTAGATTTTCTTACTACAGTCCCGAATAAAATTTTTCTAGAATAAGGGTGCGACTATGCAGACGCGAGAGAGCGAGAATATGTGGCGAGAAGAGGCGAGACGCGATAAATATCAAAACCTGTCAGATATGTGCGAGAACCAGAAATTCGCTCTCGCTAGCGTTATTTCTCGCTTCTCGTTTGTGCATGGTTTTCCTTTGCGAAAACTAAATCGCTCGCTCTAAATTCGCGTCTGCATAGTCGCACCCTAATTCTCGAGTTATGTTGATGCATCCAATCCTCTAACAAGGTGTAAATAAATACAGTAGAACATGTCCAAAACGGAACGTGTCTAGATGGAAAAATTCACCGGAACAGAGCGAATTTCTACATTAAAGAAGAAAAAAAAACCCGTTCAAAACGAACTTGTTCCCACTGCTTCCGGCTTACACAGGTTTTTACCGTGATAAATACGTTTTCTAATATACAAAACTTTTGACTGATTTAAATTCAAGGAGGTTGTTGATCGAATTTTATCTTCGTAAACACGTATCAAACGTACTACGATACACACGTCTTTGGTAGTGTTAAAGCGCATTTGTGTGTGCCGTACACGGTTTAATGCAGTTGTTGGTCGAATGAAGGGAATGTTCTGCAACTGACACAGTCGCATTTATCCGTAGTTCGGAAGATTGTAAATGACGACAGATTGTTCAGTCATGTAACCATCCATTTCGACTTAACTATATGAGACGGAGAAGGGGGCTCGTTGCAACATTTGAGACAGTGAACTGACAGTCGAGGTGATTGTAGGGTGAAAATTATCGACCTTAAGATTACTGTCCATTGATAACTATTGTATATTGACTTCTGCACCGGATTGCTATAAAATATAGTCTCTAAAAGTTAAAAAAATATATAGAAAAAAAAATAAAAAAAATAAAGTTTCTAGAGAAGGAGAGAGAAACTTTGAGATGAAAGATTATTTTAAAAAGAAGAAAAATCAAGAGATTTCTCGTAGAATTATATAAATGGATAATCTGAGATAAATCTCACTTTAATTAAAATTACATTAAATTGTTATTTATGAATTTTTTCCTGAAATTCACCTTTAAAAAGTTTAATTTTAAGTACAACAATTATGAAGGATGTTGCCTAACGCTTATTATTATTATTATTCATATAAAATGCTTCTGCAATTTATTTTAATAGGCA